GAGGGAGAGAGAGAGGGAGAGAGGGGAGGGAGGGAGAGAGGGAGCGAGAGAGAGAGAGAGAGAGAGAGAGAGAGAGAGAGAGAGAGAGAGAGAGAGAGAGAGAGAGAGAGAGAGAGAGAGAGAGAGAGAGAGAGAGGGAGGGAGAGAGAGAGAGAGAGAGAGAGAGCGAGAGAGAGAGCGAGAGAGAGAGCGAGAGAGAGAGCGAGAGAGAGAGAGAGAGAGAATCGTCACACAAAATAATGTAGGCTTAATAACCCTATCTATATATCTCAATAGTCTTAATTTTATATTCTAATCTATAACAATCGTCTTCATTTATAGACAATAGGCATAATTGTAAAACAACATATATCTATTGCAGTTATGATTTCATAATAACATACAATTGTATAAAACACAATTTGCTTACATCTTTGTTCTCTTTTGATAATCAAACAAAACCGATTTAAATGACAAAAAGAATGCAAACAAACAAGTGAAATGAACTAAATTGCTGAATTGCTTTTGATTCACTGGCAGGTGCGACAAGTGAGGAGGAGCAAAAAGTGAACAATGAGGGGGAGATTGAACAAAGAGAAAGAGTAGAGGACAGAGAGAGTAATGAACAGGAAGAAGACAGAGGGACTCAAGAAGATGGAAGAGAGGCTGCAGGTTATGGAAAGGAGAGAGACGTGGAAAATGAATGTTGACAATGTGTTGTGATCATTTTAGCCTCTTCTGCATGTCTTGATCATTAATAGTAACAATCAACTGATTCTTATGCATTACACTTTCAAAAATAATTGATGCTGCAGCCCACTGATATGGTTTGAAATCAATATATTATCGAATTTGTGACCCCCCACAGGACTTAAAAAGCACCTAACTAGATCATGAAAATCCCAAAAATCTCGGGGGTGTCCCCCGAACCCCCTTAACATATTTGGACCTCGTATTTAGGAAATCCTGGATACGGCCCTGCCTGTGCTGATAATTACTTTTGTTTAAAGGCAATAATACTCGGTGACACTGTTAGCTGTTGTATTGTGGAGTGTAACTAACTAAAAAAGCGGTGAGAAAAGCGGTCTGGAAACGGCAGAAGTGGAGTTATAAGATGGGGGAAAAACACGTGAATAATTAAGTTGAGGAATTGCAGAAAAAGCAGTTGGCTAGCTGGAAACGGCAAGAGCTACATTTTTTTAAATTTGAGTTTACGGGGGGGAGCTGTTAAAGTGTAAAAAATATACTATTGTATTGCCAAGTGGAACAAAGCATCAGTAGCAGTGTGACGATGACTATGGAGAAATAAATTGTGCAGCGTCACACCTTGTGGAAAATACTTTGTCAAGTCAGACTGGTTTCCTCATTCCAAGAAATATTTTTTTCACACTGATAACATCTCAGAGGAGGCTGTGGATTAGTGCGTTTATATTAGGGTCAGTGGGGCCCTGGTTCAATCCCCACTGCAGTAGGGCTGCTCGATTATGGCAAAAATCATAATCTCGATTATTTGGGTCAATAATTGATATCACAATATAAAAAAACGATTATCCATTTACTTTGAAAACATCCATTTATTGGAGAAAAAAATGTGAACAGCATGTTTTTAACAGTTGATTACCCTGAACTTTAAGTATAACTCAACTGAAAAAACAATAAATAAAAATAAAAAGATTAATAATAATACAAAAATAATCGTTTTATTTTGATTACGTTGTTTTTGTAATTGTTGCAAGCCATAATCGTAATTGCGATTTAAAATACGATTAATTGAGTAGCCCTACACTGTAGTCAGCATGTCGTTGTGTCCCTGGGCAAGACACTTCACCCCAAATTGTGAGAAAAAAAACACAGTATTGAGTATACAAATCGTTTTGTATAAATAATAATAAATGTATTTTGTAAGTTGCTTTGCAGAGGTAAAAAAAAAAAGAAAAGGACAACAAATAAATATTTAGACGGGCCAGATTATTCTGATGTAGCCTGTGATGTAGAGCGATGATTCGCAACACTTGACCCTGACAGGCTGTCAAAAGAAATATCCTGTCTGCAACTTCACACATCCACCTTTTGACTTCTCCAGACACAAATATAGACTTTTTGCACTACTTTTTATTATATGTGTTGCATTGTTAGAGGAGCTCAGGTCAGAAGAATGTCATTGCCATTTCTACACTGTCGCTTTGAGCTTATGACAATAATTATCTTTTTTAATTTCGTTTTTTGAAGGCACAATCCATACAAAGAGTCAACAGAATCCAAACAAACATATAACTAATTAATTATTGTTTTTATCAAAGTGGCTACACATAACAAAGAGTAGAGGGGGGTGTTGTTGTACTGCCGTGAGCGAACAAACTTGTCTGACAAGTAACGGACAGTTTGCTCAGAAATAAGAGATTTTTTTTAATTTTTTTTTATACGAACAGAAACAATTTTAGCATATAGGCCTCATGGTTTCAGTGGAAACACTTGGCACCTTACCTCTCATTGAGAGTGTAATGCAATAATCTCGTTACAGCTTATTTTAAAACCAATATCTTCCTCCAGAATGAATTAAAGGCCAAAGTTGAACAAACTTCTCTGTGAAATGGTTACTGATGAAAGCACAACTGTTGATTGGCGTATAGTTGATTTAGAAATAAACTAAAAACCCTGATCAGAGATGAACATCGACTGATTCTTTTGTAAAGCATTTGCACGCCATCAAGTGGTCACTTTAAGAATTTATCCTGGGTGTGAAATGGATGATCTTGGCAACCCGTTAGCTTTCATCCATGCAGCTTTTATGAAAGTGCAAAGAAGTGAGACAAAGCATCGAAACCTGTTGACTCCTACATTTGATGCACATGAATCAGCATGCGATACATTTTATTTAAATTTGAATGATTCATAATATTTGATTGTGTACGAATTTCTTGTCATTAAGGCGTTTGAAACTGCCCGTAACACGTCTTAGTGTGAGGCTCATGCACTAAAGAACAGCTTTTAATGTTAACACCTTATCGGTATAGATCATGTCTTTAAGTATCGCTTATATATATATTTCCTCCTCCAACACTCAGAACCGTAAGAACGACGAGGCGTCCTACGAGAAGATGCTGAAGCTGCGCAGGGATCTCAGCCGAGCCGTCACCATCCTGGAGATGATCAAGAGGAGGGAGAAGAGCAAGAGAGAGCTGCTGCACCTCACACTGGAGATCTTTGAGAAGAGGTAACATCTCCCGGGCTGCACGCACAACACACGGAGACATAAACAAAAGGCAATTAGACAACCAGCTGGAGACAGAAAGGCGGGTTATAAAGTGGAACAAAAAGAGTGGAAAACTTAGTGAGCTTTCTCTCCTTGGTGATTTTCCTTAATTATGTTTCATTGGTGTAGTTTGAGGGGGATAAAGATACCTCGATTAGTTGGATAACTGGCATCTTGTTGTTGGTAACTACGTTTCTTTAGTCGATAAGTCCGTTATTAATCATTTCTCCTTCTGATTCACTTTTTTCAAAGGAACTAGTGTCCTCTAGTCAACACAAAGTGAGGCTTTTACATAATTCCTTGTGGAGAAACTCTTTTTTTTAGTTCTTCAAAGATCAAATTGACTTGAAAATTGATCAGTGGAAGAAACGGGGAAAGCTTAAGACGACAAAAAATGTCTTGAAGTGTTAAAATTCACTTTGCTAGTCATCAGAAGAGATTGATTATACATTTTAGAATTTCGTCTTCATAGTCTTCAGTTTACGTCACATATCCCTACAGATCATTTCGATATCAAGACATTTTCTTCTCGTTTCACAGTAAAATGCTGTCAGTGAGTGTCTTAGTGACAGTGAATTATTTATCTTCCTCTTTCTGCATCGTTAAGTATCTCTAATGGCACATTTCCACTGCAGGGCCTCGCACGGCTTAGTATGGTATAGTTAGNCTCAGAGAGCTGCTTTCTTTAAACAAACTCAAAACGACTGATGGCGCTTTTCCATTGCAGGGCCTCGCACGGCTTAGTACGGTATAGTTAGGCCTTGGTAGGCCAGGCTCACTTTATGCTGCATTTCCATTACAGTTTAGTAGCTGGGCAGTAACTATAGTAACGCAGTGTAGGCGGAGCCGTGACGTCATCTTCAATGCGAACCACAGAAAACCAACATCAGCTGTTAGCCCTCAAGCTCACAGCTTCTCTGCTTTAGTTCTCATATCTGTTCAGAAACTAGACAAAAGTTAAACAAGTACAAACCACAGACTGTCTGTGTCATGGCGAATACAGTCGCTGGTTTATTTATGTCTGTAGGCCGTTGTTGTGAGTGTGGACGGTCGGAGCATATACAACGTTAGCTTAGCCAAACTCCATTCAGAAAACACGCATTTTAAAAGGCTTTTCACCTTCCGTCTGTCTGCAGACTTGTCAAAGCATTAATTCATGGTTTTTACTAACCGGTATCAGTATGTTGTTACTTCGGCATCATTTTGAAACGTGTATTACAATTAAATCACGGTCAAATATGTTCATTTTGTTGTAGTTGTAGCCCCCTTGCCAGCGATTCTCTCACTAGTTTAGCATATTCAGCCCAGTTGTTGGCCCGGAAAGAACCTGGATTTTGGAGAGCTAGAAAAACTGTGAAACAGTACCCGTTAGCCGGAACTAACCCTAGTGGAAACGCAACAAGAAACGCTGTGCTACGCGCTGCAGTGGAAATGCGCCTTTAGTGACAGTGATGTAGAAACACCCCCATGATCAGAATCAGAAAACCTTTATTAGTCCCACAGAGGGGACATGTACATTGTAGAAAAGAGCCAAAGACGGCTTAATGTTAAATGTTTCATTTGTGTGGTTCGAGGGGGAGAAGGACTTCTCTTTTCAAATGAAAACGTGTTGAAATATCCCGGTTTTCTTCTCCAGGAACGTCATGTCGGACTACAGTGGGGAGGTGATGGCGGAGGTGTTGGCTGAGCGGGCGCTGGTTAGGCCGCAGATCATTCCCCTGGTCCCCGTCACTAACCAGTACCGACACCAGGACCACATGGACCTCAAGGACTACAAGTCCAAGGTGAGGCTCGCTTCTATCAAAAAATATTTGTTAAGCTTTATTCTTACTTTAAAACGAGGCATCCAGAAATGACGATAATGATTGTAATTCAAATAAGATTGTCTGTATTCTATAAGGGTGTGTTTCTATTTGTTAAATACTTTATTTAAATGAATGTCATTGAGATTTGGGATCCATTTTTTTAAAGAAAGAACTAAATGATCATGTACAGTATTACCATCGACGGACACACGGTCACTTCCTAGCACTACATTATTCTATACACATTATATAAAGCACTAGCAGAAAGTATAACTTCAAAAATGTGCAAGTTAAAACATTCAAGGAGCTTTCACTCTGTATTACTATTTATTACAACTGTATTTAATATTCTTTACAACTGTATTTAACTTGTATATGCCTAATCCCAGCACCTAATATGTATATGCTTCTAAATCTGCACCTTGGTTGGTGATTGGCTAATGGTTACACAAGCCAAAACATCGTTATGACATCATAAAGAAGATATTTAATCCTATTTATTATACATTTATATACATTATGCCTTTGGCTACTCTTTGCACTTTCTGCTTGGATGCATTTCATTGTACAATAAAGTTAAATCTAATCTTAAAAACTAAACTAAACAAGAGTTACAACTAATGTTAAAATGTCTTCTACAAAATAAATACTGTACAGACAGGACAGAGATACGTAGGCTACCCTTTAGAGTGCTTTTTAAATCTCATGAGTTGTGTCCTTTATCCCCCTTTAGCCCGAGAAGGCGGAAGTCCCCCGTCAGAAGAGGAAATACGAGAAGAAGCAGAAGGCGTTGCCGCTGTCGTCGGGCGCACCCCACCACCCGGGGCCTGCTGTCTTCAACGCCAAGGACCTCAACCAGTACGACTTCCCCAGCTCGGACGACGAGCCCTACTCCCAGGTACAGAAGCGCACACACGCGCGCACACGCACACACACGCACACACACACACACACACACACTAGTGATGGGATTTGCGGATTTCATGGCTCCGTTCCTTTCCGAGAGCTGTTGAAATGAGCCGAGTTTTTTTTTTTTAAGTGGCGGTGGAGATTATTTGTTGACTCTGCTTTAAATTGATATTTTGGCTTTACGAATGTTGCACTCCACTTTATCATTGCCTATGTTTTTGTTGAAGTGCATCCAAATGCTGCTGCGTTTTCGCGTTTAGCAAATTCTTTCACCCGAAAAACACGTCGTCTACCTGTACCTGTATCACCGGCACGGGCTCAGTCAGTAGGGGCTTGGACTGTGAGCTGTAGGGTTGCCGGTTCAAGTCCCCGAACAGACCTAAAAATGGAGTGTGGACTGCTACTTGGAGAGGTCCCAGTTCACCTCCTGCCCTGCCGTGATGCCCTTGAGCAAGGCACCGTACACCCCCCCCACTCCCATTGCTCCCCGGGCGCTGTACAGTAGCTGCCCACTGCTCCTAGTACTAAACTCCTGGTACTAGGATGGGTTAAATGCAGAGAATACATTTCGCTGTATGCTCTGCATGTGTGACCATTAAAGAGGGTTTCATCCCTCCCCAATTATATTCTATCACTTTTTATGTCTCTCTCTCTCTCTCTCTCTCTCTCGCGCGCGCGTGTTCCGTTAAGACCTGCCTCTGATTGGCTAACCCACAACATCTCACTCCTCCTGCCTAAACCTAACCAGTCAGAGTAGGGGAGGGTCTTCACGGAATATGCTTGGTGAACAAAATCAAGCTTTTTCACTGTTCACGTAAAGGCGAGTGGATTTATGGCAGGCAGTGAACCAACGATAAAAAGAACATCTCTCACCAAGTACGACTCGGTTCCCTTCGTACCAAAGAGCCGTTCAAAAGGGGGGGGGGGGGCGGGGGGGTCGCCGCGCCGGTGCCACTCGCGCAAACTACTCTTGAGCAGTCGTCGCGCGTTGCGTCCGAAGGACGCGGTGTGGGGCGCAAGGTCCAGGCGTGGGTGCCGGTCGGGGACGGCGGTGGGGGGGCGGGAGGAGGCGTGGCGTGGACGTCTGTCTCTGCGTGCCAGTGGGGTGTAAGGGAGTGAGAACCCATGTTTTGGAGACTACACATTAAACAGTAAGGTAAAAGATAAATAGGAAATTTAGAGAGGAGAGATGGGAGCCTCGTAGCGAAGGGAAGGTTCGAATGTGTAGATTCGGCAGAAACCGAGAAAAAGACGACATTGTTACATGGGTAAAAAAGGAGACACTGGCTGTTATTGTGGTCGCGGAAAAGACTAGAGGGGCCTGCGCACACCGATTGTAGGTGACAGGGATTGCTGTGAGTGGACTAGAACGGTAAGGACTGACACGTTTACTCTTTCTGTTACGGAAGACTTATTTAGATTTGACTTAGAAACATCCGCTATGGGGGGGGGGAAGCCGGGCATTGACTTCTAATACGTTCTGCGTTTTAATATGTTTGCATGTTTTGATTACAAAGAGCTACTGAAAAGTCGTAGCACTTTCGACTTAGGAAAATTGTGAGAAACACCCAGTAACGTTAATTTACACACGGTAGAATTGGAAAGGGCAAAGAAGTGAGCTATGGTTGGAAAAGTTCAGTTGAAACTAGGAACTTGTTTTTTTTTTTTCTCAAAGAGGTTTGTTCTTTAGTAGGCACTGTTCGTAGTGAGGGAACGACAACTGAATCTTCCGGTGGGATGTACGAAAAGCTTGGCTTTCACTAAGTCGTTGAACAGTTGTTTGCCTGTTAGCTGGATTGTCTGTCGTTTTGAGTTAATGGGCTCTTGTGGTTGGTGACGCTCGAATTCGGTGATTACCTCTCCGCAATCGTTGTGAGTTTGGTACAATAGGTGGTTGTGTTGTTAGAAGTTACGTTGGGATTAACAAGGAGCAGAGATTGGGTCGGCGAGCGTGTTTGGTGTAAATCGTTTGGTGTTTGAGCGAGGCCCTTGTGGCTCCGGGGAGGGCATGTCGTGGGTGGGTACGATCTGTTTGTTGGGTTTCGGAGGGAGGACGAGTACATGACGTATGCGGTCGCACACCCGTTGCGCTAAAGTCGATTGTGTCAGAGAGTTTGGGTGGACAGAGTCGTAGCGGATGGGAGGTGACGTTCACGATGTACAAGTGACAATGGGGCCACGAAACATGCCAGGAATTTGAAAAGAATCTTGTAACATATTTGAGCCAGTTTCCGACCCACGAAACTTGTCGCGCGCGAGAAATTTTATCTTACTTAATTAATGAGGAGAATGTGCGCATCATGGACCGTCGGCCGGAAGGAGCGCTTTCCGCTATCCGTGGCAGACCCAGCAGAGGAGGAGACGAAGACTTCTCGGGACTCAGCGGTCGACACTCCCGTCTCCAGTTTTTTCCAGTCAGATGCGCGGCACATGTTGCGTCTAGATATTGTGACTTTCGGTATCTCAGCACGTTCCTGTGCTCAGGAGTTTGGGCTTCACTCAATGGCGTAAGGAAATCTGGTGGAGGCCAAAGGAGCAGCGTCCGGTTGCCCTAGAAAACTTGATCAAAAACCTTTTATGCGACATTTATTTATGTTCCAGACACCAAATTGGCTTCTGTAATTTGTGTAGTCTGTCAGCTGGGGGTGACTACTAAAGGACTTGCGCGTCAGACTGCGAGCAGAGCGCTGCTTGCGCTGACCGGAGCAATTGGTGTGGGACTTTAGTTGCCCGTTGTCTTCAACAGGGCTCCGCAACAATGCGTGAATGGGTGGGGCTTGTGCCATGTGTCAGGAGATTTAACAGAACGGGAGCAAAGACGAACTTTCGTTCTGGGGACGGAGGGGACGCGTGTTGGACAAGTTTTGTGGTTGCGAAGTTGAAGCATGTTAAAACTTAGACAAATACGAGACTTATACGCTAGGAATTTCGGAACCGCACTGCAACTTCGTCGCTGGGAGCGACATCAAGGAAATTAATTCCGGTAGGGTGCAAGTTCGTAGAGAACGAAGACGGTGTGATATAAGGATAGCTAGAAGCTTTGAGCTATTTGGTGGCATCGCCATCGGTGTGAGCGACCGTCTACTAGACCGACGTTGGTTTTTGCACGGAGCCCAGGAAAGAGCAAAAGGTGCTCTGGGAATAAGAAAAATGTGTTTATAATGGTGTTATTGAAGGTTCTGTAGGGCCGGAACGAAAAAACAGCTCCCTTTGGGGTAGGCGCGTCGAATGGAAAGGCCCAGCCGTATGTGTTTATGCACGTAGTGACGTTGCGAGATAAGTGATAGCAGAGGTACACCAAAAGACGTTTAAGCTCAGTCGGTTAACATAGTCTGTTGGTTTTGTCTCCCCCGTCGACCTTTAGACTCACCTCCAAATGGGGACCTTTAGTAAGCTGAGCGTTGTCACTTGAATGCTACGAAAAAGAATTCTTTACGACGCTACTGTGTGACAAGACGAGACACACTAAAGAATGTTAGGTATATTTGCAGGAAATTTTCTCTGCACAGGGGTGGACATATGGGTAGACCTGTGATGTAAGTTGTTGTTGTGGTTATCAGGATATTAAAAGAATGTAGTAAAAATGTTGGAAGTGTGATAGGGTGACAGAATCAAAGAAAAATAAATCCGTTTTAAGTCTGACGGTCTAAACGTCTATAAGGGTTTACGCCATATGTAGTAGACAGAAGTACTGAGATAAGTTACGTGCGCTTTATTAGGTTTAATTTTGCGCTAATCATGGGTTCTTATCTGCGTCAATGCACGTCTTTATACTTGAACCTTACGTAAACTTGTTTTTTTTTCGTTGTTTGTTTGCTGTGTAAGAGACTCTGTGTGCCGGTTACGAACCGACGTCACACGAACGGCACTTACGGACACACAACTACAACTGC